AATAGTTAGTACGTCTATATAAAATTACACTAATGTAATGTAAAATATATAATATATAATGGGTTTGCGTTAAAACGTTTTTCTATTTTTTTCATTAGTTATTATTATTTATTATTATTAACCGAAATTATTGTACTTTTAAATAAGTAAAGAAATTTGAAAAATTATTCAGTAGTTCTTTCATAACATTAAACAAAGTAATTTGACGAACCTTGTATAATGGACATTAATTTCGAGGTATATAGTTGCAAATAAAAACTAGTGGGGTGCATGGCATCGTGCCTTAAGGCAAATTGCTGAAACTTCCCATACCGTAATAAAAAATCTTGGAACGGAACTCAGAAAAATTTACACAAAATGTGTACACATTATTAAAATCTCTATAAAATATCTGATAATTTGATGTACATATGTCCAATAAACATTTTTGACCGCCAAATGACATTTTTTTTAACTTATTTTTATTGAGAGTCCATAACCGCTGGACCTGCCTTCCCAAAAATTTAATCAGTTCTTCATCATGTCGATACAAGTACAATGTTTTTGAATTATTAAAATCGGACGCTCCGTTCTCTTAAAAATTTAGGTACCGTTCTTGGCACTTTTTGCCCCGTATTTTCGAAACGGCTAGACCTGCCTATGCAAAAAACTAATCAGCACGTGTCCTTATTAATAGGATTCGAATGTTTTTTTAATTGAAATCGTTTGAACGGTGTTTCCGAAATCGTCGTCGAAAATTTGTATCCGCACACACACACACATACACACACACATCAATTTTTTCTAAGGTATGCCAAAATGTTCAGAAACCTCTAAAACGTAAAGATACATAAAATTTTTCATTTTCGAATGTTTGCGATTACTATAACTTGTTACTTTATTAGAGCATCTATTAGCTACTTGTAAATGCAAATAAAATAAAAATAATATTGAATAGAAATATATAGAAATCAAAAATAAAATATATTGCTTATCCATATTAGATTGACAAATTATTTTAAAACATTTCAGGACATATTATCCTAAATACACAAATTCTGAATATATTTACATGACGAATTTTAGATAAAAGTCTTTTTGTGAAGAGAGGATATTACAAAATTACCATTTTTATTGTCAATAGATTTTAAGAACTAAACCGGTCAAATATTAAGACAAATAGTAATTTCATATAGAAATAATAGTAAAGAACCCTTAAAAACATTTTTTGTTTGATCACCGTACACCTGTGTTTACTTTGTTTTAAGTTTTTCAAAATTTGTTTTATTAAAAGGCTTTTGTGTAGCATTTAAGTAAATAGAAGAGTAAAGTACGAATTTAAATAGATTTTTTTTATCCAACAAAAGACTTAAAATATTTTTTCTAATATAATAAAGCTATAAGACGTTCTAAATATAATTTATCGAATAAATTAATTGGAACGTATTAATAATTTTTTTCGACCCCTTCGTAATGTTAATAATTGTCAAGAACGTGAGCTAGTACACCCTGGCCCTAAGTTCGATGGCCAACTTCGGCTATCTCGATATCAAGCAGTATGATAACAAATTTTCATTCATCACTTAAGGTTAGATCTTAACGCTGCTGGGATAACTTCGACTAAAAAATTATATTACTATCTGTATAATTAAATAATTTAATGAATTATCGAAGAAAGATACTTATAATTTCCAATGATACTAAAGTAACATTAAATACTGTGATGTATTCGAGCTTTCCAACAAATAATGTGATGAGTGAATAATATATTTATGTTTTTTTTATTTTAACATTAACTTAAGTACGTAAAGATTCATCAATAACATCAAGTGAAAATTTGAAATCATACTGCTTAATATCAAGCTGGCTGAGCTTGGAATCGAATCGCGACTATAGTTTGTCCTTGACTATTGCATCTTAACCAATTTTAATGAACTCAAAATTGCCTTTATAAACTTTTTTTTATAGCCACAGGTTTCCGTTTCGGTATTAGTTTGTAAAAGTGATAGATCACGTATAATTTTTTTTTGAAGATATGTGCATTTGTTTAAGTTAGATCATATCAACAATTCCCTGAAAAAAACACATTTCAATGATTAGGAGAATTATTAGATATTATAATAATTTTTTAAGAAAGAAGAATTGCAAGACATAAATAAAATACTATGTTCCAATTGTTGCTCAATCAGGATATGGTTTGGCAAACGGTAAAAACAAAGATTCCGCTTATATTTGTTTAAACATGATAAAACAAGAATCATTAAACCATCACATAAAAAGACATAAAACAAATGTTAAGACAGAATAATTTATTACCTTTATTTTAACGATTGATTGATCAATTCCATCACACCTTAGCAATGTTTCTGATGCTCATTTATTTTTATCGAACGGTACTTTCATTTGAACACAGATTGTTTTTTCTGTGATCGACTGTTTTGCAAATTGCAAAATGCTAATTTTGTTCCGATTCTTTCATCTTCTTTATACATTTTGTAACCTTTATATTCATTCTATCAAGTCGTGACCTTTTGAACCCGGGTTAATTTAAAAAATACCATTTTTATTAATACCGTTGCAAACGGATAGAAAGTGAGAAAAATATTCAATGTGAAACTGGGTCGCAAATTAAATTATGGTTTCAACTTTATAAAAAATAATGCAGCAAAAAACCTAAAAACAGGAAAACTAGATAAGAACTAATAAAAATAGAACTTTATATTCCCTTCTTCCTTCCTAATTAATAAGTGGTAACAAATTCAGAATACATTTCTAATTGTAATCGTTTATACAATTAGAAATGTATTCTAAATTCGTTACCACTTGTTAATTCAATTTTCACGATAAATAAAGTCGCAAATATATATATATCTATCAATATTATATTTAAGGAAATTAAATTAATTTCAAAGCAGTATCAATTTTCCCTAATCTCTTAATGGTTCCAAAGCATGCGACTGTAGCACTCAAAAGTGTATAAAAGTTGTCAATATGAACCAAATGGTTTTTAGACATGCGAAATTTTAAAAATATTATTTAAATCAGTTGTTGCACAAATTATTGGTAATTGTAGTTAGATTTATATTTAATGAAAAAATGTGATAGTTCAAGGGTAAAAAAAATGATAAAACAAGTGGTGTATGGCATGGTGCCCTCAAATTGATGGAACTTCCCGTCCCTTAATGAAATATTCGAGAAATTTTAAACGTTTTCAAATATATTATTACAAATACTGTAACTTTCATTATTTTTTCTATCTTGTTAAATCTGAGCAAATCAAATGTAAATCATAAATCAATTTATCTCCAGAAAGAACATTAACAATCGTCATTTCATTTCGAATTCAATTTCAAAGAAAATAGTTGCCTAATTTACACAAATTCGAAAAAGTGCTCACGTACAGTCTAAACGCATTTGCAAATAATTCTGTGCGACATTTTCACTTATACTGTGCTTAGCTTGGCGGCATTTTCTCATTTTTCAATAGTTTTAACAAAATTGGAAAAGTGCTCCAGAACATAAACAGTCTAAACGTACTTGGACAAACATTTATTGTACCAGAGTGGCGCTTAGACTGTGCTTAGCCCGGGTGATTTTTTGAATTTTTAATCCAAAATTACAAAAGTATTTTTCAAAAAAACATAAGAACAAATTTTTTTTCCAAAAGCAATTATTTTGTTGAAATAAGCAGAAAGTTCTTTGAATCATTTAAATCTCTCAAAAACTGCCATTTTTTGAACATTTAGCTCTGTATCTCCGAAACCGTTGAGTCTACCTTTGCCAAAAACTAATAATCACTTTTCCCCGTCATTACAAACTAAATGTACAAAGGTAGGCCCAGCGGTTTCGGGGATTTTTTTTTCAGAACATATTTGAACATTATCTACCGGTTTCTTTCGAGATTGTCGTAGAAAAAAGTAATTATCATGAATAAACTTATTAGAAAAGTATAAAAGTGTACTAAAATCTCTGATCGTTTTATAAATTCGAAAATGTAATGACTCGTATCTTATTTTGTTTTTCTACTGCGCACCAACTTCGTGCCCAAATTGTGTTGCCACATCACTCCCAATTCAGTGTTGGCGCAATCCTCTACTGCCACCTAGCCCGCAGTGACTCAAAGTTTCGGCGTACTGAATATGTAGGCCCGCGGAAGACCGGTGGTCAGATCAAGGCTAATAAATTTGCTGGTAATTCCATCAATTTCCGTTTTTAATGATCCAACCATTATACCAGTGTTTATATATTGTGATGGCAACAGAAAAATGCTATGGCAAGGCCATGTTACGCTTCAACTTCCATACATTATACTACTGAATCATACTGAATACTGCCAAAATGTCATGTATTTGCTGTGATTTCAGGCGTTTTACACATAAACTGCAACGTCACTCGTATGTTATAGAGCTAGGTCAGAGAGACCCTGTTATCTAACATCGTTTTTTCACATTTGTGCGGTTTCTAGGTTACGTTTTCCATCTGACAACCTGAGAAATACGCCTGACTCCACTCTAAGCACATGGCTTCTGTCAGTATTTTGTATGGGAAGCTCTTCATAACATGGACTTTCCATAACATTTTTCTATTATGCTTTCTAGGTTAGGTTTTCTATCTTACAACCTGAGAAATACGCCTGACTGCACTCTAACCACATGGCTTTAGTCGGTATTTTGTATGGAAAGCTCTTCATAACATGGACTTGCCATAACATTTTTCTGTTATACGGCAGAATCGGTCCTTAGTCTGCGCTTATTGCAATTTGCATTTTTTCGATCAAGGCACCATCATTTATAAACTTATTGGAAAAGTATAAAAGTGTATTAAAATGTATGATTGTTCTACAAATTGACACGTATCTTATATTGTTTTTCTACTGCCTAGACAACTCCATACTCATGGTCAACTAGTGTTGCCTTATTAATTCAGTAATTTATATGAAAATTATTTAGAAAATTTGTATCATTTTATTACAATAACATACAACTAGTATCAATATATCATTCTCCATGCCAAGTACTCACCTGAGTATTCGTCATTTTGGAATCTTCAGTTCGGATTCGTTCTCCTAAAATAAGTGTTGCCTCAAACGAACATCCGTTTCAGTGCAGAAGAGAGATAACAGGAAGCAGTGCTGTACAACAACGGACAACATGCGACATAAACGTTTACATCAGGCAACACTTGCAAGCGACTCAATGGCGGCCTTTTTGAAAAACTGAAATAACGGTTTGGGCCGCTATTAAAACAATAATAAAAACAATACAACATAATGTGAAAAAGGTTAATGAAATGATAAATATAAAATAAGAATGAAAAAACAACTAAAATTTAAAAGTAAATTGTTGAAAGTATACATATTTTTTCGCAACCAGAACTATGGGCCCATAACCTGTTGTAATGCACTTCTATGAGGCTTTGTAAGAAGACTAACCCAGTGGTTGATGTGCTTTTTTCATAGTGCTGATAAAGTAAATAATTATTTATGCAAAGATTTGTATACTTGAGAGAGTAACCTAGTATATGATATGCTTTTCTAAAAGTTCTTCTATTGAAAAAAATATTTATACCAAAATTCATCATTTGAGTGATGATTATGGATTCATCATTTATGAAAAGATTTAATGTTATTTAATAATATTCAAAAAAATTTAAAACTTATTCTCCCTCAATATCTCTTTTAGATATACTAATTTAGCAATCGATGTAATTGATTAGTATAATCACTAAGGTAATTTTTTAAAATTGTGTTTTGATTTACTTTACTGCCTTTTGCATTAATCGAAATTGATATTAAATCCTGAATTAGCATTTTCAAGTTGAAAAATGCTATAAAAATGTCTAATCAAATGCTATTTTTCAACTATCGAATAAAAAGTAGTGCTGTAATAAGATTAAATATTTTGTTCAATATTTGAAATGGTTTTTGGAAAAATAGTCGTAAATTATATTGAAAAGCCAAAAACCAATATTAATCAAACCACAAAAAATATCTTAAATTAAAATTTATAGTGTTTTAACAAAGATGAAAATGTTTGTGCATAAGACGAACATTAATGTTTGTAAATTTCTTATTAGTGCCCTATATTTTATAATCACTTCTTTATATAACAAATTTTATGCTAACATTATTTATTTATTTATTAAACATTTAAACCAGGAAAGAAGTTCAATAAAAAATGAAAAAAAAATTAGATATATTATTAGAACTATAAACAGCAAAATGTTCTTAAAGAAGAAGAAACGTTTCACAATATAAATTTATGTTGATAAATTTTAAGTGTTTAGCACATTTTAATTGCGAAATATCGATTAAACAAATTAATTGATAGATTCACTTCCACTTTTATAAAGCACTTAATAAAACACAACTAATACATATAATTAATATAACACATGCACTACATATAATGTTACCAATTTTTCCTATAATTTTTTTGCTTTCACTACATATAACTTTACCAATTTTTTCTTACAATTATTTTGCTTTCACCTTTAATACAAGTTCACATAATAATTTAAAGGTTTGTTAAAACAAAACAAGTAATAAGCATGCAACTAAAATTTCTTAATTATAATACTTTGAACTTTCTTATTATTATAATAATTAGTAATAAAAATGTTAAAATTACCAAACCATTATTCTATAATGAAATTTTAAATCATGCGATACAATATTTTAGACATTGAAGCATAATGATTACGTATTCAAAATTGATAAGATAAAACACAATTCTGCTTGTTTAAAAATGTTATACAATCAAGAAATGTATTGGAAATATATCGATATCAGAGATATCAATCAATATTGTTAGTGATAAACTACCGGGTGAACAGTATCGAGATCTCGAAAATAATTAGTTTATTGGACGATAAAAACCGAATTTTATTTGAAAATGAGATTTACTTCAGCGAAAATTGTTTCAAATTGCAGTGCTTGAAGTTGATCAAAATTCGAGAGAAAAAATGTTCTAAATTGGAAAATCATCTTAACCTGATGAAGAATGGTCTAACAAATGAAAGATCAAAATTATTCACTCAACTTTTGCCTCGAAAGGATGTCATTAGTTATCTGGACAGAAGACTTGCATGGAATCCTAACATTGGCTTCATAGTAGAAGATCCATACTATCCCTGGGCAATTAAGTCCTTTTGTATAAAGCTATACTTAGACTCATATGGTCGTAAGGAATTGAACTTTGGGGATGTGCCAGCAAGTCTAACATTGTCCTTAAGCAGAGACTACAATCAAAAAATGCTTAGAACCATTACCATGGCTTCCTGTTATGTTTCTAATTATACAATTCACAACTATTTGAAGATCAAACATCTTCTAATCCAAACTATACCTCGACATGAAGCTATACCCTTAGACCTATATCATATGATCCTCAAAGTTCTTTACCATATGACCAGATATATGGTCATATGGAATTGAACTTTGGGAATGTACCAGCAAGGCAGCAAGTTTAACATTGTCCTCATGCAGATACTACAGTACAAAATGCTCAGAACCTATATTACCAATGCTGCCTGATGTGTTTCTAACTATCTAATCAACAACTATTTGAAGACGTTTGAAGATGTTATTAAGAACAGATGCCAAAACACCTCTTAAAAATTAAAGATCATCCCAATGAATTATTAATATCCACACTCAATTCTCCAATAGTAAGGCGCCTTCAAAAAAATTGGACAACAGATACAACTTGAATTATACGGATTTAATTTTAGTTTTCTATTTGTAAATCTCTCATTGGCACTGTAGTACATGCAAACTTAAATGTGTCAATATGTCTATGTTTAAGTTTTTTTGTTGCATGTGCTATGTGTAACCAAATAGATTTTGAAGATTATTTTCTCCCTTACTATTCAATAAATATTTTTTAAAAAAAAATTAGAAAAAGTTCCATTTGTACCCCCATCGGCGTCCAAATAACATAAGTGATAAAGAAGTAATCACGAGAACCATCAATCGAAACCGATTACCGTTAATCGTCAATATTTGAAGTAAAACTTCTAATGCCTCATGCAACAAGGTCGCAATAAACATTCAACGCATTCAAACATTCAATAGGAGAAGGCATTGCAAGAATTGTTCGCAAATTATGCAAATTATTTGAAAATGTTGTGAACTGTTGGAGAACGTTGCGAATTGTTTGACAGTGTTGCAAATTGTCTGAAAATTTTCTAAATTGTTGAAAATATTGATAATTGTCTAAACTTTTTGTTCTAACTGGATGCAGTTATTGCAAGATACAGAAAAAAGAACGTCAATATAATAGAAGGTTGAAAATTTGAGTTACGCAGATGAACAATATGGGTTGTTCTAACTAAAATTAATTTCTACTCTTTCTTACATTCAACGCATTCAAACATTCAATAGGAGAAGGCATTGCAAGAATTGTTCGCAAATTATGCAAATTATTTGAAAATGTTGTGAACTGTTGGAGAACGTTGCGAATTGTTTGACAGTGTTGCAAATTGTCTGAAAATTTTCTAAATTGTTTGAAAATATTGATAATTGTCTAAACTTTTTGTTCTAACTGGATGCAGTTATTGCAAGAATACAGAAAAAATAGAACGTCAATATAATAGAAGGTTGAAAATTTGAGTTACGCAGATGAACAATATGGGTTGTTCTAACTAAAATTAATTTCTACTCTTTCTTATTTTCATTTACATATTAAATCGTCCACTCCTCCTCCGGGAAAAGACCTTACAACCTAAAAAATTATTTCCTCCTACTTCTTTATCTGACAGAAACAAATTATGTACATGAAACTATAAATATTATATTAGTGCACGTTTGCATCAGCAAAAAAATAACAAAATATCAATAATCGGAAATACGTTGCCCGCAAAACTTAGAAAGACCAACTTATTTTTTGAAGTCACCTCGTATAGATTAGAATGTTCAGCAAGCATTTTTTCGTTCAATTATATTTTTTGCCACACGTAAACGAATACACAATCATTATATTTTTTAAGGGTTGATATAGAATATAGAAAGTTCTGGGTAAAAAAGTCCAATTGGTTCAAAGCAATATTTTTTGATTAATGATAATGTTCGGTCTTTTCACGTAAAAAAAACTAGCCGAATATTCATGATGTTAGTAAGTGTGTGGATATATGTGCAAACAGTTCTTGAAAAATACATTCTAAAATTTTCGAACAACTGTTAATGTTGATAAATATAGAAGTTGTAAAAATACCAGTAAAGATTGAGTTTATACATTTTTCTTTCTCTTGTGGTAAAATGCAAAGGTAATATTTTATAAACGATTCTTGAATATTTATGCCTGGTGAGTAAATTTACTGTAAGTTAAAATATTTGTCTGAAAAATGTTACATATTATATATCAGATTATATTTAAAAACTTCGCGGGATATTTAATATTTAAATACTGTGATGTTTCTAACAATTCTTTTTAGGAAATATCTTTGGTACTACCCATTGTGATGATTTGTACCAAAGTTTAGAAAATTATGTAATGACTATATTTATCTCAAAAGTCATTATATTATTATATATACTAATTTGGTATATAATTACATTTTGAGGAATAACTAAATTTATTCACAATAAATTTTTCAACATAGCATTTTGAATAAAAATTCATAACATTAATAAGTAAATTCCAAAACAAATGTTTTAAATATTACTTAATGAGTACAAATAAATTTTTCAAATGTCTTTGAGAATTAAACATCACAAAAATATCGTTTAAATTGTTTCGTTAAATTTAAAGCAAATGCACAAAATTAAAGGAATGTGAATGTATTTTCCAAATAATATTTTCAATCGATAAATAATCATATTTGAAATGACGTTTATATTTATGACAAATATATAATTAATTGGTACATGCATATTTTATGTACAAATAATTATGTACTTCATACCTTAGACAAATTTTTACTTGATAAAGTTTAATATTTTTATTTTCCGTTCATAAAATTTATATGTGATTTAATATAATTTAATTAGACAGAATTAGAATTTATTTAATTTACTTTTTTGTTGATGTTTCTTAATTATCATCTTTTGTAAACTAATATGTAACTTTGTAAATTAACATATCAGATCGTTATAATAACAATTTGTAATAAATTTATATAATTCGTGGTTCTATTATATATAATTAACTTGAACCTACAGGACTGTGTAAAATATAATTGTTTTAACTGACTTGAATACTTTCTTTTTCTTGAATT